CGCGTCGTCAAAGTGTTATATTAAATGACGTAGAAATTAAATGTGATTGATGTGGCAGGAAAAGGCTGAGAAACTCGAACACTCAAAGTCATATATATTTATTACATTCAGTGATCAAAATCGTACCGTTACAAGCCAGACCGCATATATCCAGAAGATGTACCAAAACGAAGCAGCGTTTATACCAAAGTCCAGAAGATAACCCAGCAGGTAAAAACACAGTTCATATGGAGCACACATTCCACTCTTCCACACGAACGCCGATCTTGGAGTGAGCCGGACCCGCCCGGCCTCTGCCGCTGCCGTCTCCTGGGGGGGGGGCAGGTGGGAAGAGGGGAGGGGGCGCACGCTGCCCCCCTGCCCCAGACGATGCCTCCCCTCCGGCACTCCCAGGCCGCGCCGTGTCGCGCGGTTACGTAACGTCAAAAGGGCCGAGGACAAAAGTGGCGTTGGGCATAGCTATGTCTTAACCTCCACTACAGTGATGATGCCAGTATATTAATTGAATGGGAAGTCCAGGAAGAGATCCAATTAAAAACAGAATCCGCCTCTGAAACCGCGCTACTTGATCTCGGCCTCTGCCGCTGCCTGCCCATTGTCGTGCATTCCACACGTGCCCAAGTGTCCAGGCTACCCGCTCTGGACCACGCTGCGGCCAGCTGTGTAGCGGACGCTACAACATGTTTTTTGTTTCCTCTCACGCGTACTAACATGATATCTTTCTCTAAATCTTCTATTTTCCTCTTCAGTCCTCCCGTCTGAATTTCACATTGGTTACCGGCGGATTCTTTTATTAATTGGAACTCTTCCTGGACTTTCCTTTCAATTAATATATGGCGGTTCGCAGCGTTGGGCAGAGCGGATCTTGTCTATGACATCCTTGCGCCAGATGTATCGCAGAGAAGGGAGTCGCAAGTTGGGGGGGGGGGAGCGACGCGGTCACAGCGAGGCTATAAAGGCGGGTGGGCCCTGAAAAAGGTTCAGCAGTGTTCTTCAACTTTTGTTGCACGCCAGTGTACGTGGGAGGTCGTAAGCTTGCTGGTATGAGAGCCAAGCTCATGATGACAGAGCATTCGGTAGTTAGTAGATGCTAACGGGGAGAAAATGCTCCTGACGTAAATGCAACGGCACTTATGTATACATTTGTAAATAAACTGTATATATACTAAAGCCATCTTGTCTGTGATTTGCCCATCCCACGACGTCACAATGTCAATCCCGATAGAAAATTTTCCGGAATGTTTAAAATTTTATGGCGGCGGAATCTGAGTTATATGGTTGAAGAATGAAAGTTATTTTTTATTAATAACATTCCGGAAAGCTTAAAATTGTATTACATTGAACAGGCAATGTCATCGTAAACAATTCATTGGTTTACTACTTTAATTATCACTCATTGAAATTTACGGGTCTTGGAAAACATTGAAGCCCATTTTTTTTATAACTCATGGTGTTCTTTCTGGATTTTCTCCGGTTTTTTTTTGTTTAAACATATCCAAATTTATATTCGTGTCATTAATTTGTTTTCCCTAATCGGCTCGCGGTTGCGACATTTCTTTGGGAATTCTACGAATGTTTCCCTGTAATTCACGTTTGGTCATTTGGAATTTGCGAGAGAAATTATCTTCTTGTTGCCTAAATATATATGATTAAAACCATCAAGACTGTTCTTCATGACTATTTCCATCCGTCCACTACTTATCCAAGAGAATTTTCCATCCGTTCAAATCTATTTCTGTTCTAATCTGTTATTCATTTCTACATTATTACTTTCTAATTTATTCTTCATGTCTACTAATAACTCAAAATGAACTATTAGCATCCTCCTCATGTGGTGATTTCTGCATCGTCTGTTGAGGTCGCGCCGCTCCCACTACTCCTTGTTCGGGTTCTCTTTCTTTAATTACATTTAATTCGGTTCCGGCATTGACATTAATATCAATATCAAGGTTCCCTGTAATATCGCCCCACCAGAAGCAGTAATTGTTCCCTCATCGCTATCGGATTCCAAAATTTCAGATCGAAATGTTTTGCTTCTATTCCTCATCTTGATAACATTATACTATATTCTATATTTGGGGTGAATACCAGAATTCGAAAGATTAGAACGCGAAATAATGTAGGTATTGTAATGGCTTAAAGGCCTTCGGCCTAGCCACATAGGATCTAGTAAGCTTATTTTTTTGTAATAATTACCTATTAAATAAATAAATAAATATTCTATAAAAACTTTATTGACGTCATTTTTTTAATCCAAATTAATAATATTTTTCTATTAACTTAATAATAGTAATTTCTTAACTTATTGGCTGATATTTGCACATCAATAACAACTAGTACTTCCAGCAATTTCCCGTCTCACGCCACATTTTGGATGCCAATTGTGAGAGATTATATTTAACTAATTTCCACTAATTAATTATTTACTATATTCTGCCCCTGGTTGAGCAGTCATTTGAGATAATTTACGATTTTTTCTAATTTAATTTGACCATTATATTTATTGCCTGGTATATTATATTGCCTGGTTAATAAAACATTTATTACAGTATTAATTAATTTTGCTATTTAAACATTGCATTGACTTTACACACCTGGGTTCGATATGTAATACTTAACCTTATTTTACTATTATTTGTGAATGTGCGACTGTGTTCAGAGTCGCATTTCCTGGAAGTTCTGCTGAATTATCCTGTTATTAAAAAATTGATGGCAACTTCTACAAATTATCAGGTATTTTACATTGTTTGATAATAAAGAATTGACATTTATTCTGCAGATTTACACGTTTTGGTCTTTGAGCTCATTAATGATTTACATTTCATTTGCATGGTCAAAAATGCCGTACGGTATTTCTTGTATAAATATTCGTAAGCTTACGGAAATATCTTCCACTCCGGTCTTCAAAATGTATTCCATTCGGATGACGTCAATGAGATGTCCTCGCGATGCTTCTACAATCGTAAATTCCGAGAGAATCGGGAGAATTTTTGTAATGTTCCCCAAAAATCCCAACTGTTTGATAATAATAATTCATAACCCAATCTATTTACTTAATACAGTCCGCAAACGCGACTTTTCCTTCCTGCGCTTCTGATGAAGTGCCTACTTGAAATTGCCTGTCATTTTACGTAACTTAAAACAATACATAATGTCCAGTGAGGAATCTACACTACACTAATTCCCCACGTACGAAGTCATTTTACAAGAATTCCCAAAATTACAACAGAAGCTAAGAATGATACCCTCAAATTACAAATTATATACTACAGATACACTAATCACACAATTCACGCAAGTTTCCTATTTCTTAACATTAAAATGTTACCAGCGTAAGTCTGCAAGATTATTACTGTCCACTTCGGTTGCTTTCAAGAGACAGAGTGACTCATCCTGAACAATCGCGGAACCTCGATTTCCAACGCCGTCTTGTCATTTATTCAACATTATGTCTCGGGGCCGTGCTTCGCACATGAATATCGCGTTCAGCACGAAACATTATTGTTGACACGTAGTTCTGACAACGTGAATTCCTTGGTCTACACTATTGGTATGCATCCAATTGTAAAGGAAGCATACGTTCGACATTTCCCTTTATTAAAAGCCTTGCGGGGATTTCTGATATGTCATAATATTTGCAAAGACTTCGAAATAATTAGAAAGTAAATTAAAGGAATTGTAAGAATACATTAAAGTTGGCCTCACTGTGAACAAGACGAAAACCAAAGTCATTACTAACAGTGCTCAAACTTCAATCATAAGAGATAACGTAAACATAAACTACATTGAAGAATATTCGAAGGACAAATTGTGTCATTAGCAATTAGACAAGAGAAAGAGTTAAAAATTAGAACTTCCAGGACTTGGAAAAAATTCTGGAGTCTAAGTTTTATTCTCACTAACAGAAGAGAGAGTATGAAAACCAAAAAAAGACGTTTCTGACTCTTTCTAGTTTACGGGACCCAAACATGGTCATTTAATGTCATAACAAATAAATTTAAAATTTGGCAAACAAAAATAGGAAAATGTTTGGTATTACACTCTGGAATAGAATAAAAAATGAAGATCTAAGGAAGAAAACAAAGTTTATAAATGCAAGGAAACATGCATTGTATGTTTTAAATGCTTCAAATATCCCTTTAAAAAGGAGTTTGTTTTCTACAAGGACTTCAAAAACACTCGCCAGGAATGGCTCCCTAATGTAATTGTTACAAGTCACCCCACTTTCAGAGAGGGAGGTCTTGCCCAACAAAGGGTGTATGACTAACAATAATAATAATAATAATAATAATAATAATAATAATAATAATTATTATTATTATTATTATTATTATTATTATTATTATTATATACCGATATTCAGTAAATACACATGTAAATAGAAATTATGTAACTATTATATTTGATGATGGAACCATTATGTAATTTCACTTTTATGTTCAAAGAATATTTCAAAATTTGTAGCGTTATATAATAAAATTTGAATAATTTTCATTTGTATTCAGTGAGCATAGGATACACATTTTCTAAAAATATTGAGTAAACAGTAATTACATCTTGAATTGTTGCTTGTTGACACATTTCATACATCACCGAGTTCATATCTAAAATACAAAGGAAACATAAGAAACTCGTATTTTCTAATGTCATTTTAACAATTTTTATGTAATAGGTTATTTGCTCTTGATACCGTCGTTTTTCTATCCAATGGCTGACATTAGTTTCCCGAGGATATTGCATAACCTAACGCGGCTACACCGCTATTTTTCATGTTGCATCGCCAGGGATAATAACGTATTGGGTCATTTGCTTCCAATAGCTTTGCTGGTAGCGCCAATGTTATTTACTACAACGGACGCGTCACAGTCAGACGGAGGGACATTTTTTTTTCGAACAATTCTTCAATTTCTTATATCTGCTACTGTACTATAAATGGTGTTGTCTGTGCGTTCTAATTCAGATTCTCTCTATTTGTGCTCGCCTGCTCACAAATCTTAGTAATGGCCCGTCGTGTGATATTTGCGTTCATGGTAAGTTTAATAGAGAAATAAGCTTGTGTTTTATCTTTTCTTGTATCTTTACTACGGTTTCAAATGTTTGGGCAATATTATTGCTATGATGCGTTTAAATTCGCTCTGGTACTTTCGCCGATATAAAAAGGCTTCATTGGTAGATGACATGTTAAGAAAAACATACAATATAGACATCGTAATTTGGTACACATATGTGGATTTTATTAATTAACGCAACAAGTGTATAAAGAGGAGTATAAATCCATGAATGGTATATGGAAGAAAACGAGCGTTGATAGGAGCAAGTTTTCTTATTTACCATGAGTGCAATTATACCCCTTTAACAACCTGTTTCGTTGAATATTTTTTTCGTTTCCATAGAGAATAATTTTAATTTTGAGAAATTCAATAATATCTTTACCATGAGAGGTATGTGTCTGATGACGTCGTATTGGTCCGATTTCCTATTTTAGAAGGCCTTGCAGTGTATATTTACGATTGTATTAGTGTCAGGCAGGGCCACACGGTTTACACCGTTATGTCTAGTTCATGTTTTTAAATCGTGATATCATAGTAGGTTAAACTCCAAGGCTTCGGACTCCCATTAATTAGTGTATTAGAGGATAATTGTAATTGATAATTAAGTTTAAAAATGAAAAATATTTAAAGTATTCCTGTTGAAATATTAGAAAAATCTGACAAAGCCTTGAAAACATTACTTCGTATGAAAAGTAAGGAGTGGAAAGAAAGACGATTCAGTTCTGACTCTGACGTTTTGCTGGTGTACTATCCAGCGGGTAAACACAACTGCCGATTACATTTTTTATATTTGTAATGTTCTGAGACCAAATGTTTTACACGTAAAACATTTATTCATGATAATAGTTTATGTTATTCCATTAGTCCGCTAGTGTCGAACAAACATGCTTATGGCCATACTTGTTACTGTTGAAGTGGCGTGTAAAGGAGAATATAGATATTTTAAATTATAAACAATTTACTTGATTTTCCAAAACAAATACGGAGTTTTGCCAGAACAACTGCTCTCTTTGGGCCGTCACGTTCGAATAGGTGAATTAACACATCTGTGCAATATAAAGCGACTTCTGGGTTAGATGATAGTTATGAGTAGGGTAATAGTTTCCAATTTAACTTATTGTACTACGAATATCAACCTGATTGTCTAAGACGTAATAATAATTATTCGTTTATAATTTTATTTCATTCGTTCCCTGATTATATGCTTCTGATGTACGTAATATGTGATGTAAATTTTTGTTCATGTTTCATGGTCATCTGAAAACGATTGTATTATAGTTACATAATTTTAAAAAATCGATCAGTTCTCCTAGTTCTGATTGACATTTGTGGACTTTTAATTACGCGATTAAGTATTAATTGCATGCATGCCATAAACATGGTGATAATTATTTTTAATGGAATGAATAAGTATATTTAGTTAACTAAACGGAAAAAATGTTAACACACCGAGTTTCGAATATTCAAAGTACTTAAACAACACTAACATGTTTCGCCGAGCGCTTAAAGAGTTTACTTTCCCGCATTTTACACACATATGTAATGTATATAAGTAATGTACAAGTATTGATGTTACGTAAAAAAGGGAATTGTTTTCCAGAAATAATTGCATTGTACGTCCCTGATACCAAAAGTTCATATTGCTTGTTCATATTAGTAAATTACTTCCTCTAACTAGTTGTGTGGTGGTAATCAACGGATCATGGGTCTTTGATATCCAAAAATTTGTTAAATTTTTTATCGGATAAGTATGCGCATATAAATGGAGCAAGTCCAAATTTCGATCAATTCTCTGAGTTTTCAAAGTTAAACATTTTTTCGGGGTCTTTCTACAACTACGATATTAAAGTTAGAGATTTTTTTCCTCCCAATGAAATATTTTCTACAAAATTTAATCTTTAAATGTGATCATGTACAATATTTTCAAATTATGAGTAGTTTTCACATGACTTTGCGTACAATAAAGGAAGTAAATAAAAACAAGTTTTTCTGAACAAAAAGTTCCAATATTTTACAAATATGTTTGTACGGATATTTCTGAAGGCAGATATTCATGTGATATAGTCACAACATTGATGTTTTTTTTTTCAAAAACTACGCAAAAGTAATTTGTTTGTTCTCACGTCGTTAATATTTACATTAATGTCGCTTTTTTATAAATTAGGTTCTTGTGAGTATAAGTGCTTCAAAAAAGTCTTATAAAGTTTCTCAAAAACCTCAAAAGGTTTCTGTGAAAATGAACTCAAAATTGCACATTTTCAGAAACTTTTAAAACCATATTTTGATTTCAAAACTACTCAAAATTTTGCAATGAAAATTGACGTGTAGAGAAAAAGGTTTTACTCTTCAACTTTATTTATTATGTTTTATTATTCAATTCGAATTTCCATTCTGCTATTTGTGGACCGTAACATGGGGAAAATGTGAAAAAAAAATTTTTTTGATAAAACAAAATATATCAATTTCATATGAAAGAAAACGAAATCTTCATCTTAACTGATGTAAGCTAACATTTACAATACATCGTATAACACAAAGATTCGGTTTTCTTTCATGTGAAATTGAAACTTTTGTACTAAAAAAAACACGTTATTTTTTCACATTTTCTCTTTACGGTCCTCTAATCGTAGAACTAATAGTACAAACCCCTGAATAATCGGGTTTCAGAGCAGGATATACCACATATCCACCATCTGCAAACCATGAAATAAATAATTGAGAAACTCAAGAATACAATTTAATGCTCTACATAGCCTTCATTGATTTCTCAAGGGCATTCGGCTGTGTAGAACAGGCCGTTATGTTTGACGCTTCATAATGTCAAGGCATCCAGGGAAAATGTATAAGAATTCTTGCAAAGATATTGAAACGAAGCAAAGGAAAATTCGCACGGAACAAGCGGGAGAAGCGTTTAACCTGAACCGTCAAGTCAGACAAGGAGACAAATAATTTACATGTTTACTAGAAGATGTATTCCGCAAACAACATTGGAATAAAAGAGAAGGAATTAACCTAGATGGCAGGAATTAAACTTTGCTGACGACATCGTACTCTTCGCCACTAAACCCGAATATTAAAGTTCCTAAAAGGATTAATTAGCTTTTTTAAATGTCAGAAGCCTTGTTTTGTGAATCACGTCACTGTCTCCCTGTCTCTCATTTTATCTGCTTTAATGCATAATACTCATTTCTCCCCATAATCATGTTTTGGACTAACTCTTTTCATTCTAATGGATTTGTGAAAGGTAAGGAAGATTTTTGACGAGAGTAAGAGTATAAAATAATATCAACATGTGTAATTTTTCTTAATTTTAGTTGGGAAAAATTGCAACTCTCAAAATTACTGAGTAATCTGCTTTATTTTGTAGGTGGCGTTCACCTTACTCCACGTGGAAGGAGCCAGTATTCACGTGAGTGACTTCAAAGTTTCAATTGGAGGCCATAAGTAATATTTTTAACATCAGTTCCTTCTTGGAAAATTATGTTGTACAGGACTAGTATATTTAAATATTATCTTTGAAAATGTAAACAATTGTATTTATTTACCTTTTCAAGTTATAATGTTTCTATTCTTTTTAGATACCTTTATAATCCATTTTCGTGCTACGCTAAATTGTTTATATAGATATTAGTTATGTTCTTCAAAAATAATCTTTCAAATAAATATACAGTAGAAATATTTTGATAAGAAAATATTTCTATCCTAACGTGCGAAAATCAACAAAGAAATAAAATTTAATCTCCGCGTTCATAAATTATAATATGTACAGTGAAGGGTAATGCTGAACAGGCTTTTAGTAAGGAATATTTTGCGCTTGAGTACAATTGAATTCTATACATGTTCATCTAAAATAACTACAAGTTTCGGATGATTCGCATAAGAAATAAATTGCAAAACATATGTATTCGAGTGAAGAAGACAGCAAAATAAATATAACTAATAATAATAATAATAATAATAATAATAATAATAACAATAATAATAATTGAAGGACATACATGAATAACGCGCAGAGGAAGTGCTTCCAGTAGTGATGTCAGCAAATGGATTGGTTACCAAAGAATGTGAAGCGACCGTGAAGAGATTAAAACTTACTGAAAAGCATTCGTAGACCGTTCAGAAAGCTGCATTATTTGGAACAGCAAATATAGTCCATAAACTCTTAAGCCTGAATTGACGAATATAAAAAAAGTATGTTCTTGTTCAACTAGGTACTGGATACATAAACAAGCAGAAAAAGGCCACCACGGCAGATAAATATATACAGATGTTTATATTTACATATGTACAGAGTGTCCAGGGAGAAAACAACTAAACTTTCAAAAGAAACTCTTAGGTCAATTTTAGTATATTTTGTTTAACAAACTCCTTCGAGATTTCGCATGACTGAGCCACAATAATTCAAAAGTTCGTTCGGAAAAAGATCCATTTCTATGTCCCAGGTTCGCAAGAAAAGCAAGGTAACTAGCAATTTGTAAAACTGCTATGATGCAGTGTGATAAAATTCCAGTGAAGTAATGTTATTCACAGTGAAAGAGATGGAGAGACAGACGTGCCGACACGTAGACAAACAGACGCATAGAAATAGTTTCCTTTTTGCATCGTGTACGGGATCTTCACGATTTTGTGAAGGCAGTCTGCTCTCTACTGAACCATCATGGAGGTATTGTTGAGAGAAAACGTTACATGGCCTAAATCAAAAAACTAAATATATTTTGTTTTAAATATTGAACAATTATCAAAAAGAAACCTTTAAATACTGTCTTGAAATTAGCATGGTAGTGTCTGTTCAGCCACTGGCACACTCCTTCCATTGTTTCTAGGGCTCTAGGGAATTTTCCGATAACAACAGGAAGGCGTAGGGTAGAGAGAAACCTGAAGACACATTGAACCTAATTGACGTTCGAATCTATAAATGAATTGGTTTAACACACAACTAATAGGTATCCGTATTCTCTAGATATTTCAATTTATTTTACGCAATAAATTGATAAAACTTATTATTCATATTAATATGTCATTCTAATAAAAAAATGCATTAACATAAATGAAAACAGACACAGTACTCTCATCAAAACTGTTTGTAGAATTCTAAAAATAATTTTGTGAACTGTATTACACATTACTTAAGGCAACATTTGAATTCTTTGTCAGCCTTTGTGTACGATTGCAGAATAAAATGAAAATGGTTCATTTTTTTTCAGCAGTTACAGATCTTTCATTTGACTCTGTTTCACAACTCACCAAACTCAATGTCACAACTTACCAAAATATTATTTGAACTCATGTTCAATTACCAGTAGTTAAAATCGCCAAATGTGTAAGGAATTCAATTGGAAGCTTCTGTCAGATTTAATTTATCCTTCTTTTCTTTCAGGCTAAACGTTCAGCCCAGGGATTTGGTCCACCCGGTCAGATGGCGAGCCAGTTTGGCCAGATGGGCCAGATGGCAGGCCAAATGGCGAGCCAAATGGCGGGTCAGATGAGCGAGATGGCAGGCCAGATGGGCAAGATGGGGAGCCAGATGGCGGGCCAGGCGGCGGGTGCCTTCGGCCAAATGGGTTGAGCGACGCAGACGTCGCCGCAACAAGTGAGTCATCAACCATATTTTAAGCACTAGACTTAATTGAAATCATTACCACAAACGCGGAACACATCAACGTGTATTTTTAACATCAGCTACACCGGTACGTAGTTTCATCAGTCGGGTTGGTGATCATACTGCATCACCCTAAACTAGGAAGCATAAATGTCAGGTATTACGTAAGTGGGTTTGTGAGAGTCTAGAGTTGATTTCGAATGCAGGGACGGTATTCTTATATTCATCAGAAGGTAGAAGTTTTGGAGAACGGCGAACGCTAGATTTAAGCCGGAGAGAATGTGCGTTTTCCATGTCTGATCCGTTTCCATTCAAATGTCTGATCCGTAGAACAGCCGAAAAAATATTGAATAGAGGTAAATAATAGTGTTGTGTTTAGATGATCATAATACGGATGTTCGAATATTTTTCAATGTGGGTATGTCAAGAATGTTCTTCAGGGAAAACACTTTGGTTTAATACTTTGTTACGTTCAAACTTAATTCCCCATTTCACCTACCGTTCCCTGAAGTTGTCCAGAGGTCTTTCAACTTTAAAATTGCATTCTAGGAGCTGACGATAAAATTAAGACGATATGGTCGTCCTATAGACCCAATTTTAAGTACTCTCACCGTGCGTTAATTACCCAATGCAGGTTCAAGGGTAATGAGCCGTGAGAGTCACCGCGGTAACAGTAGAGTTTGGTACAGAATAAGGGCACTTTACACTACACGTTACAAATTCCTTGATGAGCTGGTTCCACCGAACCCTATATATAATATTGAGAGATAATTTAGATCACAGGTAGGCACAGAAAGGACATGTTTAAACCTTCCATATCCGAAGGATCAATCTATTTAGTTTTTCATGTTGAACATCGTAATTTTAATGTTGAACATTTTAACGCCAACGTTGTCCAATGTGATATTATGAACGTTCGTTGGATGTTTGATTTTATAAACTTCGTCATGAAGTTCCTGCAATTGCAAAATTCTATTTTATTTACTACAATTTACCGCAATAATTTTTGTCAATCTCTACTGTACTTTCAATAACCTTATTTCTTATTTCATTACAAATAATTTTAGTGAATTAAATAATGTTAGTTGTATTGTAATGGATGTTTTCTAATGTTTCAGGAAGAGGTGGAAATTGGGAAGAGAATAAAAATTGAAAGAAAAAGTATACCTGTATATAGTAATAAATAAATCATATTGCTTAAATTATAGAGTTCATTTTCTTACTGTCGCCACTAACATATTTACAAGAAATTGTTTCCCATTCCATATTTTGTTTAACATTGCCTTTAATTGATAGAACGTATTCATACTGGCAACAATGCATTGAGAGTAATAAACGAAATAGCGACGTCCACGAATAAAATACTCGTAATTAAATGAAATAAAAATGTACTAATCAATTATTAGGAGCATTTTCCGACTTTTTGAAAAAAAGAAATATTTAACGTTCACTACGCCAATAATAGTTATGTAATTATACTATTTTCTGGGCAGATTTAATATGCAATAGAACAAAGAATAAATCAATAAGAAAAGATATCTCAGAAGCCGCGTTTTGTAGAAAGTCGTCGACTTAGAAGCGCAAAGACGAGAATAAGATATTTGCAGATCGGATATGAGTGAAGAAAAGACATTTAAATGAAACGTTTGTAGGCTTCCGCGGCCGGAGTCAATACATTATTGGGTATCCGGGATGAGCCGCGTCTCTATCAATTGTGCTGACGTTTCGGCCACCTTGCTGTGGCCTTCTTCAGAGCTATACTGCTCAGTATAACTGCCGGCTCATCCCAGATAGCCAAGAATGTACATTTAAATGAAAATTTGACGTCAATGAGAGGGAGACGTATTGTGAGGGTCAAAAACCTTGAGTGAACCGAGAATGAAAAACGCATTGTAGATGATTTGGGATGTTGCTAATTGAGATATGAGAGAAGAAAAATTTTGTATATGGTGGTTAAATCAATAAAAGTTATTATAATACTTTAGAGTGAAAATTCTTCTTTAGAATCAGGAACTGTCTTACATGAGTCGTTTTGTTTTTGTTGTTTTTGTTCGGTGAGTGAGTGAAAGAGGAAAATATATGTAAACGATTTGGATGTATTGCTACAAGGAGTCCAAAACAAGTGCACAAAAGTCTGGCAATTAAATAGCGTTTTCAAATTGACGCGCATACGGTATATACTTTATATTACACCATATATGCTCTATATGATATACTCTCTGGTAGGCACACTGGGCAGCAATATGTTCCCTTTTAACAGGAGGGGCAACCAGTGTAAAGAAACGTGTCTTCCATGAATGACATGGAATTAGTTTACACACTTGCCACGTACACCTGCTCTGAGAACTTCAATGCAATCCAATGAGAGTCAATCCTCACCCAATGCAATGTGCTGGGCTGTTTTTTGAAATTATACTCAAATGGGATACACAAATGAAACATATTAATATTGATGTACATGTAGTCGTGAAATTATGAAGACAAAGATCTTCTTCAAGCAAAGACGTTTCGGATGACATCCACTGGACAGTACTGATGTATCCAAGGTTTGTTTGAAGTGCATCCTTCTTCACAAGAAAAACGAACTTGCATCAGTTCTCGCATCAGTTCGCATTATTAAGTTACGAGTTATTTGGAAATCTCAAGATGTCGACTACAATAAAGTACCACTCACATAGCAAGTAACTTTCAAAGGATAGATATTATAGTAAAATTTTAGGATGGAATTATAGGAAATTTTAGGGAAGGTTTCCGTTTTACGCAGGGTTGGCCATTCTATGACACTTGTGATATTGACATTTCCGCCCTGAAACTAGTAAATTAAAGTACGTAAAGTAGTAATTGAAGTTCAGTAGAAATTACCGTTCATGATCTTATGATAATTATTTAAATACATTTACAATGACAACATAAACTTTACATAAACGTAAATACATTTACATGAAATATTCAATAAACGAATATTAAACATTTTTTATTGCCAGCTTTTGAGTTGTTCTTCCTTCTATAAGTTTGATCATTTAATCTAAGGCTAGAGTTTAATGGTTTATTTCGACTATCGTTAAAATGTTGTGAAACTCATAAAAATACGCATCTCCTCACTGCCTATTGGCTGCAGTGGTCCTGCTTACTGACTCAACACATAGTGCCTCACAGGACAGAGTATACTCTCTGGGACAGAGTACTGTGACTTTCTGGTACCCTCGCATGACCTTGAGCAATGCGTGACTGGCCGATGGGTTACGATTTTGAACGCGGGGCAAGGAGACGCGCGAATAGAAGCTCGTACACCTTCCCACAATCAGAGAGTTTGGAGGGAGGAAATTCCCCTACAGCTATGCCGTGACAATTCAATTTAATTTAATTTAATTTCTTTTAAAGAGACCAGAAGTCCAGGAATAAAAATATTGATAGATAAATGAGTGGTTAGCGAATCAGAAAGAGCAGTCATTTTACAATACAGAAAATGCTCAGAATTCATGAAGAAGAATCGTGTTTGAGACGCTACTGCGCGGGGGGGGGGTGCAAACAAGTCAACCGCGCGTATTACAAGTTGCCGCAAGTCAGAACAGTGCGAGCGTTGATAGAGTGTGGACGTGTCGAAACACGAGACAGACGGTAACGCATGATAACGGTCAAACTAGTGTGAGAAATGGTCGAATATGAAAGTAATGTATTGTGGTAGAGCAGTGCGAGTTTCATGTCATACTTAATGTTTTAATAAACAAATTTGTGGTAATTGATGGACGAAACATTGGACTGAATGAGATCCAGCACGCCTGAGGTGACATCTTCAAACTTGCAGACGGATCAGTAAGGGAAGTGAGAACTGTTAATATTATTTTGGTTTTGAGAAGTAGGAAGATCAAGTATTGTTTCTAATTAAAATTTAGAATAGATTTAAGAATCGTAATGGGAAAATGGCGATGAACGAGTGTGTGACTGAAGAATGTATGATGGGTAATATATCTTGTAATGTGCGAGAGAGAAATTGATTGTATAAAAGAAAATATATGTGTTTCGTTTCCGATTTGTTATGTGTTATGAAATCCAAAAGTCCACGAGGCAAATATTGTAAGTCTCAACAGTACATAATTATAAATTGTTTGTGCCAGAAAGACGAGTTGTTTTTAATTCATTATCTGATGAGCAATTTCCTTACATGATAATTTCTATCTTGCAACTCCGGATGGACAAATCTGTCAGCACACGATCAAAATATTTTTTTTCTGAAGCACGCAACAATCCCCTTGATAATATAGGCAAACATAATGTGGTAGTCATCAATAAATAAAGAATATTATTCAAATATAGAAGGGATTGCCGCGAGGAATGGATGTTCCAGTTGGTCACGTGATTGTGTAAAAGAATAATAAAAATAAATAATAATTATAAAGCGCCCAGCCGGGATGTCCCATTTCATTTCTCAGTACGTATACAACTCCGTACACGAGAATGTAACTAATGTCGCAAACTTTCTCACACTAGTTATTTTCTTATTCTGTTCGTCGTCTAAAAGACTACCACAATCTCTGGCGGTACCTACCGCTCCTCTTGAGGTCGCGAAGAGCACACACCGAACATTTTTGCAAAACCATCCACGCATGAAACACAACGGAATTCGGCGTACGTGGAAGCCACAGCCTTAATGCCCACCTATTTTGGCCCATCTGTCTCGATCCCCTGTCTCCGAATCACTTGACCGTACTGACGATAAACGTTTTACGATTTACGGTATAATAATTTGATAAACCCAATAATATACTAAAACTGATTTTTGTAAGCATACGCCATGTATGACCTTTAATATGCTTGGAATATTGAATCTATGTAACTGAACCATTTTAAAACCATTCTTTTCTATAGCATCAGGGCAAAGCCCAACGTTCTGAGTAATCATCGATTTTCACAAAATTAGCAAAATCTACAGAAAATGTTGTAGAACACAATATTTATATCACATATAATTTAAAACAAAGATTAAATGACTTAAACAATAAAATAAAATAAATAATAATTAATAAATAATAATAATTTTTGTTGAAAATAGTTTGTGATATCAAAAAACACATGTAATTTTTGGAAAATCCAAAGAAGGCATTAAATATTTCTAATTTTTTCATGAAGGGTTTTATTAAAAATACGAGTAGTTTTTGTGATTAGAGAAATTTTCTGAAATATCAATGCAAACAAATGATTTACATTAGTTCTGTCGGCTAGATCACAAAATAATTTAAAAAATTCTCTATTACGTATATGGGAAAGTAAAAGAAACAAATAGGCGATAAATTCAACCCCCAAAAAAGATACGATATTTTTTCTGATTCTAAAAGAGTAATGTGATAAAGAGTCTACCAGTTAGTATTCAATAAGGATTTCTAATGAGGTTTTTTTATTATTCATGTACCTTTTCAATACGTACTCGTGAAACTCTGGGTTGGATACTAGTAGTATTTGACATTCATTAATGTCCATTTCTTTTTTTAAAAAAGCTGATTTAACATAAATACTAAAATTTCATAAATAATTATTTTTTTTTAGGCCAGCAAATCTTTTAATTATTTGCATGTACCTTATATTCTTACATTACATTCTGCAACACGTCACCAGCTCATTAGTTAACTACACTCTCTTCATTCTAACGAATCTCTACTTTTAAAGATTCGTGAGGAAGATGTTGTGAAGAGAATAAGAATATATTTAAATGTAACACGCGTAGTGTTTCTTAGTTTTATTTTGAAAAAATAAATCTTTAGACAAATTTTGAAAAACGGACACTCTCAAAAGTAAAGAGTCATCTACTTTATTTTGTAGGTGGTGTTCCCCTTACTCCACGTGGAGGGAGCCATTATTCACGTGAGTGATTTTTCATGTTTGAATTGGATTGATTGATGATTCCGGGCTCGACTGCTATACTGCTAAGGTATTTAGTCCCATAAGTGTGGTCCCCTCTCGTGAGGTGGCGGTGATCTTCCATTGCTAGATTATGAGATTCGGCGTCGACCTATCGTCGGCTAGCAGGGTTTTTCCAACCACGACAAGAAAGAGGAAAGAAAGATCGTGCGAGGTCCATGGTCCTTTTTTTTCTCCGACATTCGCCTAGTATTGGCCGGAGAAACCATGGAATACTACGGATCACAGCAGCCGACCGCTAGAATTCACCTCCATATAGCGACTGAAAACGACATAACGATCAAAT